TTCTGTCTTCTAAGCAGCCACCGCATTTTGCAATATGTTCAATTTAAAAATTAGAGAAAGGAAAAATAACATAATAATTATCCTATTATTTTATTTATTTATTTATTTGCTTAAAAGTAGTATACAAAATTTAATACTTATGTTACTAATTTGTATGGTTTATAATTAAGATCGCCTATTGTAGCTTTCGCGTCAAAGTGCATTATTATTGCATTCAGTACATTATTAATGTACAAGGGGGGCGCGAAAAAAATTGCGATCGAAAAGGGGGGCGCCAGGATTGAAAGTTTGAGGAGCACTGTGTTAAACCCTATTTCATTTGATGAAGATAACCAGTAAGATTCAATTCATATTTAGTAAACCCCAAACCTTTAAGTTTTTAGTAGTTTTTTCATTGGCCTTTCGATTAGTATACAAGTGACACATTGAATTTTCTCTTGCTGAGTTACTTATTTTTTCTTCTTTTTGAAAGTGTCACTTATGCACCATGATTCATTTTATAGATTATTTGGTTTTATATGGTACTTCCATTTTTCAGGAAGAATTACAGCCCAGTTATTCCGAATTAATGATGTCCTGTTGCATTTATTTAGCTTGCATGTTATAATTATTTTTGCAATGAATTTCTTAACTATAACCATATGATGTGAGAAAAAGACAGGGGCTGAGATAGTACTATATTTAATTTGAAATTGAAAAAAGAATGTAATGCTTAGTTTTATTTCTGTAAAATACTCGATATTACTTCATAAGATATCAATGAATGGAACCAAACCGGAATCCGAGGATCTGCTTGAATATTCTTAGTCTTAAATTTAGAGACTTAAAAAAATTCTAGTAATGCCTTTTATTGAAAAGTTTTAAAATCAGATTTGATAATATAATATACCAAAATTAGGATTTAAGATATTGGATTAAAAAATAGCCGTCTGGGTGATGTAGTTGGTTTGGCTCTTTCCTTGTACACCCAAGTTTGTTGTTCAACTCTTGCCCAAACTGGTAGATTTTAATGATGCAAAAAATGTACAGCGTCCATGTTGTGAGATTATGTGGCGTGTGTGTGTTCAAGATACCTAGAGTGTCTGTCTTGGGTGCTCTCGGAAAAATTGAACCCTTGTACAATTTCGCATCGTCAGAACTGAGGTGCTTCTGTCTAGGGTGGAAACTTGGCGTCAAAAATGGTGCCCCACTAAAAAGAGATACCAGATTCCAGGGAATGTACAAGGAATGGAATGGTAGATACCTATCCACATCCCCATTGGGAGGGGAAAAAAATTTGAGATATTATGAAAGTGCCGGGCTGAAATAATAAAAACGCTTAAAAGTAAAATTAAAGAACAATTTAATTTTTTCCCAAGCAAAATAAATTATATTGACACATTTGTAGAATTTTTCTGTTGTTGAAAGGAGCAGTTTAAATCCCACATTGTTACATTATTTGAAGAAATGGTCCCCAAAATAGAGGGATATCATAACATTGAGTAAGATATATGTGTCTGTAAGTGTTAAGAAATAATCCCACTACTTAACACTATTATCCTTGGAATTCTGAGATATTAAAATAAAATAGGGCTAAGGAATTCCTATAATAATAATGGTATATTATTTATTAATGGTAGCATACGTGTTTTTATTCTACTATTTATAACAAAAATGTGATACATTTTTTTCTTCTTTTGAAATGGAAAGTTTTTCCAAACGAAAATAAACTTTTCAAATGTAAGCTTAAATGTTTTATTAGTCTAGACGTACAAAAATAAATAATTGATTTGGGATTTACTTATGAGTAAAGAAGAAGAAAAAAACTGACGAAATATATAATCTGCAAATGAAACCTTTTGCATTAAAAACATAAAGATAGCTAAATATGGAATGAAATTATATTGGTTATATTTGACAATGTTTAAGAAATTTTCATTCTTTGTCAGTCTAAAATTTTTTTATCTGTATTTATAAATTTGTTCAAAGTAGCCATTTTCTGTGTGTCCAAACGATATATTCAAGTTAAAGTACATTTCTTCTTTTTATGACTGTTAAGATTATTTTATAAATTTTATTTCTTTAATTTTTGTCTTTTGAAGCATTGAATGACGATGAGTATATTTTCACAATGAAGTTGTTTATGTGGAATAACAAAATTAATTTCCATTGTTCCATGCCACTTTTGAGCACGTAATAAAAAAAACTAAGAGTTTCATTAATTCAGTGTTTCTCAAACTTTCAATACTTGCGACACAATTTTCAATCCTAATTTTCATGGCACCTCCCCCTCCTTACAACAATGTAATGAATTCAATAATACTATACTTTGACGCAAAAGCCACAATAAGACTTAAACCTCTCAAGGGCCACCGGCGTATATAAACGTATCACTCAACCAAAGCGTTAATTGTCCCGTACGTATATATATACGTCTTTCTGTAGCATGATCTTTTCTGTGCACTGCTATCCATAAAACTATTCCGAAGGTTTTGGAATATAATAAAACCTTGACAGAGTTTGCGAGAGATTTACTTATTTCAGAACATTTGCTTATTGACCCCCCCCCCGGTGGCATTGGGGAGCGAATCCTGTAACTTTTAATCGGCAGTTAAGGGATTAATTATAAACCGTACAAATTATCAAGATAAGTGTTAATTTTTGTAAACATTTTATGAATGACAAGCCCATTAGTTCACTGGTAATTATTAAAATGATTTTTAACTTACTACTGTTAAATTAATTATAAATTACATTGTGCAGTAATGATACATTTATATGTGTATTATATCAGTGCAAATGTGTACTTTATATTTTATTATGTCAGAATATATTTTGTTTGTTTACTTTCAGTAAATTAATAACTTTTTTAATAATCTTTTGTTTTCAACTTTTCAATATGCTCGCGCCCCCCTTGTAGAGATATCACACCCATCTAGGGGGGTGCGCCCCATAGTTTGAGAAACGCTGCATTAATTGATTGTTTGCGTCGAGTTTCTAAGAAACACAAGGGATTTTGTTGATCAATCCGTACTTTTGAACCTTTGTTAAGTGAAATAGCATCCTATTATCCAACGATCACACGATGTTCATGTGACAAATTAGTCTCTCCAGATGTAACGCAGACGTCGACCCGTCGAAAGGATTAATCCTTTATGCACCAGGGGTACTGCAGAGTACCATTAGAATTACATTTGTTTAAAAAATGTTTCCGTTTTCGATTACCAACTGCACGTTTCTGGATTAACGCTAAATAGTTCCTTCAGTCATCGGCATATAACATTAGTAGTGCCATGAAGCATAAAATCCCTGAAAAAGAAACATTTCTCGCCATGTGTCTCATTTCCTCTACCATTTTCTTATGTGATATGTGCTATTAAGTTTTTGCATAAAACATCTTAACTAAGTCCACTGTCGGTATATTATTCCTTATTTTATAAGCCCAGAGAAATATTGTTTCTTGTACAATAAAAGAAAAAAAATGGAAGTTTTTTACTTTATTTTTCACAACCATCTTGAAGTCTTATTTTTATGTTCCGTTGGAACAAACCACAAGATCTAAAAGAAAAGAAAATTATTTAGTATTAACTTATTTTTAAATACTGTACGTTTTCGTCAAGTATTTTAGCTTAAGAATTGAAGAATAATTGCTTTTCTTATAAAAGTTTTAAAGAATAAATTTGAATCCCAGTTCTTTACTTATTGTTGCTGTGGTGGCTCAGTGGTTGTGGTCATGAATTCGTGTCAAGGTACTACCGAAAACTCGCCGTGTAGAGTTTAGATTCACAATAAATCTGTCGAATCTCAAACGTCCTTCTGTGTGTGGAAGTTAGGGGAGGGGCAGATAGCTTGGTTGTCGTCCTATTCATTTGGCCGAGATTCAAAATTCTTAGGTCTATCGTCAATAGCCGTCTCGCCACCTTATTGTGTGAAGTTAAAAATTCACTCACCTTCTTTTTATTTTATTTTCGTGTGCAATGTAAAACAGCGTTTCTCAAACTGTGGGGCGCGCCCCCTAGGGGGGCGTCATGACTTCACGAGGGGCGCGAGCATATTGAAAAGTCGAAAATAAAAGATTATTTTTTTAAAAAAAATTATTTAATTACTGAAATTAAACAAACAAAATACATTCTGACATAATAAAATACATTTTATTACTGATAAATTACATTTTGTACACTAACATAATACCCTTTTAAATGTATGGGTAATGCACAACGTATTTTACAATTGATTTAACAATACTAATTCAAAAACAAGTTTTCTAATAACCAATGACCCCCATGGGCTTGCTAAATGAACACTTCTCTTCACGGTTTAAATTTAATAGCTTTACTGTTGATTTAAAGTCGCGTGCTTCGCTTCCCAATGTCCCATGCGTATGGGATGTATGGAGGGGGCAATTCACAAGAAGCCAATTATTTAAAATAAGTAAGTACTTCGCAAACATTGCCAATGCTTTCTTATTGCATTCCAAAGCCTTTGGAGTTTTTTTTATGGATATCAGTGCACAAAAAGATCGTACTTCGGAAAGACGTATATATACGCCATTGGCAATTAACACTTTGCTTGAGCGAGACTTTTATATATGCTGGTGACACTTAAGAGATTAAAGTCGTGTTGTAGCTTTTGCTTCAAAGTATAGTATCATTAAATTCAATACATTGTTGGAAGGGGGGCGCGATGAAAACTCTGATGGAATATTGGGTCGCAAGCATTGAAAGTTTGAGAAGCACTATAGATTAGAGACTTAGGTAAATATATTATTAACAAGAAATATAAAAAATAAAGTCAATTCTCACTTAGGTCAACAAAGAACATTTTTATTTTAGTTACTTTTTATTAAATAATTACAATTAATGTAAATATGTCTATACATATGACAGAATCACACTATTAAGTGGCGAAATAGAAAGCGATTTTCTTTGCAGTTTTTCTTTCTATATAGTGTGTTAGACTATTTTTATTTGTTTGTTAATATTTGTTTATTCATTCATAAATCCCGTTCTCAGAAATTAGGACATCTCAGGTAGGGCGTGAACCTACGACCTTTGGATTAAAAGTCCAACGCGCTATCCATTGCGCTACAGGCAGCTTTCCTCACAGGCAAATTTTCCTTTTTATATATGGTGTCGGACAATTATTTTTATTTCTTAATATTTATTCATTAATTAAATTTAATTAATGAATTAATATTTGAAAAAACTGTATTAGCACATCAAGTGCCCTCCACTAAAAGTTTTAAAAAATATATTTGCATTTGAATGAATGAACACACACACACACAAAGTATTTTATCAACGATTGAAAATTTGAACAAGATATATATATATAGGGAGAGAGTGAACTAAAATAGTGGGAATTGAAGAAAAAGGATACTTAGAACTGTATATTATTGAAGAAGAATAGAAATTGAAGAAGAAATAGAGAGCATTGGTCTTTTCATTTTCCGACTGTTTTCGGGCGCTATCCTTCCCCCCCCCCTTGCCATTAGAAAAATTTTCCTTTAAATATTTAAAGTAGATCAACATGTTAGAGGAACTTCATGGATCTACAATTTTAAAAATACTGCATTTTTCAAAAAAGTTTTATTTCATGTATTCATATAATATCACACATTAATAATATTAATTTATGATTCAAGTGCCACTTATCCAATAATTTCATTTAATAACTAGGATGTGTGCTTGCATTTTTCTGCTCAAACTGCTGATGTCTAGGCCTATTGAATTTAGTTGCATTTCCTATTTTGCGTTTAATTCGTTTTTATAATTTGTTTTTGTAGCCATCCATGTTGAGAGAAATATTATCACTTAATTTCATTGTGCTGACTGATATCAAAATTTTTATATCTGAGTGAAACATTCTATGTTTTTGTATGAATAAGAAACCATAAAATTTAGAAGCTGTTCTTGCTTAAATTTAGATTTTAACATCAAATCTGTTGATATGTCGAAAAGTGGTTCCATCTTCTTCATTATAGGAGTTTTTTTCCCACAAATATAAAATTTTGCATTTTGCATTAGAAAACTATTTAGTTGAACAAAACATTGCACTAACGAAGGTAAAGTTATGCCTTGGTACCCGGGATAACAGAAAATAGAATTTTCACAATCTATAGCATAGGTGGCACACTTAAAGAAAAAAAATTACGTTTTAATATATTTTTTATTATATTACAATAAACGTTAAAAAAGGATTACAAAATAAATTTACATTATGTTTAAATAAAATTTTCAGTTTTAATGATTGGGATGAGGCTTGGAAACGTGTTTATACACAATTCATAGAGATTGCAAATCCCTTTTGCACACACATTTATAATTTTAATTTAGATTTTTATTGTGACTCTTGGAACCCCTGGGTATGCCTCGTGAAACCCTAGGGCTCCGTGGAATACAGTTTGAAAACCACTGTAAAAGAGTATCACATATAGAACCATATTTCATTATCATTATAAAATCATCATCATTACTATAGAGAGTTTAAGAGATTAGAATGGATTAATCCCTGATTATATAATAATTAATGGTGAATAGCACGGTGTTATATATACAAAGGGTTAAATATGTTCAAAATTTGTCTCCACGAAATATTCTCACTTTTTCGATTTGGTTGAAATTTTTAGCAACGTTACACTTTGAAAGTCTGTTGGGTCTGGACAATCGAACTCATAACTTAAATCACGGTCACGTGACGAGGATGAAACCTGTACGGAACTTTAATTTTTAAATCGGCTTAACTCGAACCACCTCAGTAGCGCAATGGTCAACGAGCTCTATGTATGATTCAGGAGACTTCTTATGTTAAGGAAACAATTTGATGCAGTATTTTACGCATATTGCATAAAAGCCTTGATAAAATTCGCTCCTTTTTTATTACTTATAGGTTTAAATACTGTTATTTTTAAAAATTTAACGTTCAATGAAACATTCTTATTTTTAACATGCTTTTTTAAGTTTCACTTGTATGTAATGGAATCTTTGACTCGAGTTTTACCCACTTTAAAAGGCCAGAATTATTCGAAATTTTGCACACTTCTCAAGGACCGATGACAATACAATAATTTCATATTTTTTTATTGTCCTGATAAGGATCCTCATACATAAGTGTTTAGTTTGCACCGATTCATTACACATTAATTTAAAATCTCTAAAAGATTACACCACACATTAAATGGCGAGACTAAGATAAAAGGAATTTTATTAGAGCGTTCTCCATACGCTCTTGTTCTCTGTCTACACATACACTGTTTACACACTGTTTTTTCACACACTAGCGCCCTCTCGCGACAAATATGCACCTGTTGTTGTGGGTGTCACAAAAACCATTTGTTCAACACTGAACAATAAGAATTTCGAGATTTCGCGAATAAATCATTATATCGTTTCCAGATTTGGCGACTAATTGCATAAATCATTTTCAGATTTGCTAATTAATTTCATATGCCCTTTCCTGATTTGGTGACTAAAAGATTAAGGAGAAACCCTAAAACCGTGAATAGTTTTGTGGTTAAGAGGGCATAGTACCTTTAAACGGCAAAATAACCCATTTTTCAAAAATATTTTTAAAAATTAATACAGACTGTTAGGAGCATTTTAAAACAAACCGCGTCAAAATCGGACCAAAAGTACGGCAATAGCAACAAAAAATGTCAAACGTCAGCACTGGATTGTCCATTTAAATCCAATGTAAAAAACCATGTTCGTTAGTTTCGGTTTTGAAATCGATGGTGTTATTGAAATTATTTTCTCCCCAGTTGTTGCTAATTTTTAATTTTATCTATTTTTATTGAGAGAAGGATGTTTGCAACTCAACACTGCCCTAGTTCGAAGTATTGCTTGTTTACATTTGTATTTCATACTGTTTACTGCTGCTTTATTGAGTGTTATCTCGTTATTCTCGTAATTCGTAAGCTTTTTAAATTTTTGTTGATTGAAGTTTATTTTGCATCTTTTTAATTAGTAAAAAATGTCTAGTAAAGCTCAACGTAGAGGCAGTGACTATCGCCGAAAACGAAAGCGTTTTCATGCGAATCAATACACTCGAAATGTATCAGATACGCTTGCTGTTGACTGCATATCTGCTTCCGCTAAGAAATTGTGCAAAGAAAATTATCTTGACAAGGAAGTAAGAAATTCCAATCAATCTAATGGATATAGAATGATAAACATTGATATTTTATTATCTGAACTATCCAAATATGTCCTAACTGCAATACTAAAGTAGTTCTAAAAGAAAAGATTTTGTATGGATTGGTATCTGAGTTTTATGTTGAATGCTACTCATGCAGTACATTGACCACTTTTAAAAGTTCCTCAGTTATTGCTTCAAGTAAGGACTATGAAGTTAATACACGAATAACCTATGCTATGCGTACAGTAGGATTGGGTTTTTGTGGAATAAAGAATTTTTGCACAGCAATGGATTTGCCATCCCCAGTATCACAAAAATCATATGAAAGGATAATGCGAAAAATAAATTTGGCCAGTCGTGAAGTAGCAGACGACTCCATGAAAAATGCTGCGAAAGAAGAAGTATCAGCTTCTGGAAGTAATGAAATCTGTGTCAGTGGTGACGGTACGTGGAAAACACGTGGACACACTTCCCATATTGGTGTTTGTAGTGTCATTGGAGATTTTACAGGGAAAGTGATTGATGTTGCTGTTCTCTCTTCATATTGTAAAGGATGTGAAAAATGGCGAGGTCCAAAATCTGGACATTCATATGAAGAGTGGAAATTGAAACATCAACCACACTGTGTAAAGAACCATATTGGTTCTTCCAGTAAAATGGAAGTAGACGGGATGAAGGAAATATTTCAAAGATCGGTGCCACAACGAAATGCGAAATATATTAAGTATATCGGCGATGGGGACACAAAAACGTTCCCAGAGCTTCAAAGGACAGCACCATATTCTATCGAAAAAGTTGAATGTGTTGGCCACATACAAAAGCGTATGGGTGCTAGACTGCGAAAATTAAAAACAATGAATCGTGGCAAAAAATTATCAGATGGTAAGAGTATCAGCGGTAAAAATCGTCTGACTGATAAGTTCATTGATACAATTACCACCTATTATGGCAATGCTATTAGACAGAATAATAGCTCCGTTAGTGATATGCGTCAGGCCATATGGGCAATTTATTGTCATTATAGGTCCACTGATGAGGAACCTATGCATCACTTCTGCCCAATTGGTGATACTTCGAGGTGCAAATATCAAAAGGCAGTTGCTACGAATAGTGCTTCTTTATTCAAACATAAAAATATCGTGCCAATTGCGGTAATGGATGAAATAAAGCCTATAATAGCAGAACTATCTGCACCAAAATTGCTGAAAAAATGTGTGGGGGGTAAAACACAAAACGCTAATGAGTCGTTCAACTCGACTGTTTGGAAGTACTGCCCCAAAACTTCTGGGTCATCTAAAAATATTGTAGACATAGCAGTAAATGAGGCTATAGTGATGTTTAATGAGGGAATGACGGGACGTATAAAGATAATGAAAGCTCTTGGCTTTAAAATAGGACATTTTACTGTTACCTCTGCCTTTAAGGCCAATTATGCACGCATAAAAAATGCCGAAATTAAATCAAAATCATATACATTAGAGGCCCGTAGGGCTAGCAGAATGAGAAAAAAAGCCACAAATGAGCATTTTGCTAAACTAGAAGGCCCTACATATGAAGCAGGATCATTTTAAATATTATGTATTAAGTTTTATTTGAAATATTGAAGTGTCATTCTTTAAACTTGATTTTCTCAGTTTCAATTTTTTACACTTTCCCGCAAGATTGTAAAAAAAGTTTTTACTCTAGAGCTACAAAAATTAGCATGCATATTCTAGTCATAGATCTTAATTCTGTATGCAATAATTATGTTTTATGGTTTAATACATTTTGATTTGCAACTGTATAAAAATTGAAATTTTAAAAAAAAAAATATTTTTATGAATTTTTAATTTTAAAAAATATTTTTTTAAAAATTTTAAAAAGTATTAAAAAAATATAAGATACTTTTCAATTAAGTGGTATACACACACAGAATAAAGGTTACATTTAAATTCAATTTAATGCAAAAATTGAGAT